ACAGTCAAGCAGCAAACCCATGAAGGCACAAGTGTGACAAAGCAAACAATGCTAAAAAGAAAAGCTAAATTATCAGAATTCACGTTTCTTACACAACCTAGCCGTCCCCGGCAACGGCGCCAAAAACTTGACTTGCTCTTACCGTTACTCTAGAAAATGGCCAAGTGTAACCACTTCTTAAAGCGTAGTATAGCGGGTTTGGGTTTTAATGTCAACCCGGGTCCTAGATGCGATGACTACTCTGTGAGTTCTTATTATCTAGCAGTGAAACTTTAGTGAAGTTCCAAACAAGTAAACAAGCAAAACAAGTAAAAAGGTTGTTTTCAAGTCGAGAGAGGTCACCCGGATATGGTTCCCCCTAGACTGCAGTTAAGCCGGATTGTAATTTACCAAGTCCAATTTTAATGATAGTTATACTGCGGGAGGTTCTTAAATAGTCTTTAGTCTCGACTAAAGGTCTCCAGACCCTCTCAATCTGAGTCTCCAGCGGGCGACTAACCTCGGAGTAAACGGATTGAGGCCCTAACGAACAAAACCTCCACTACCGAAGTAAATTCGGTACATAATAGTGAATTGGCTCCTCGACTATAGTCACCAACTCCCGACCTTCAATCAAGGGTGCTCTATCAACCTAGTCAGATATTCTCTTTCTAGGTTAAAGCAGAAACAACAGGAATTTGATCAGGATTCATGCCATTCAACAAATCAAACCTCAATTGAACAGAATCATACCACTGAATCTGTACTTGGGTTTATACAATCAGACCTAACATACAAATCTAGGGTTCTTCATACCCAGGTGAATAAGAAAGTTACTCCATAGAGAGAGATGGGAAATCTAGCTCAGATGCGGAAACCATACTGTGAAGGATGAGAATCTTCTTCTGGCACTCAATCAGCTCTTCTCCAAGCTCAAGCCGTTCTCCAATGGTGATGGAGATTGATCTAGAACACTTGCAGAATCAGGTTCGTCACTTTCTCTCTCTAGGTATCTCTTTTTCTCTCTAAAACTCGGAACCCTTCTCTTTTTCCCTTCTTTTCCCTTAAGAAGCTATCTGTCGTGATCCCTGGCCTGAATACCCGGTCGGGTATTTTGGGTAGAGGTCGGGTATCTTCAAAACGCAACGTCTGGGTACAGGGTAAAATCCCCGGTCAAGGCCAAGAATCCCCGACAGAGGATTTTAGCGTCACGACCGGGTCCCATTCTGCTTCTCAGACACCCAAAATGTGAATTCCCCGGTCTTCTCCAAATAGAACCCGGGCGGGAATTTCTGCTCATGGCCGGGTATTTTGCTCCCCTAACACACTTCAACCCAAACGTGCTCCTTTCGACCCGAAACACGCTCCTGCGCCTCGATGTCAATGCCATGCCCTGAAATATGACATAGACGGACAACCTAGCCTAAAATCGGCTTAAAACACGAGAATCAACATCTCAAACGGCTCAAGAATAGGGGTAAAAACATGTGCAATCAATGGTCTATCACGCGATAGCTTTTTATAGCCGCGTGGGTCGCCACACGGGCAGTTTTCGCGAAAAAGAGGCATCAAAACCTTTGATAACACCTCACGACTCAAAAACACAAATTAAAAAGAAAAAGGAAAGGAATGCAAACCTTGGTGGGGTTGCCTCCCCACAAGCGCTTCTTTACCTTCTTTTAGGAAGCCAGTAGAGGACTAAGGGTAATCGAGCTCGATCACCACCTCTGCGCGCTCGACATCACCTCCCAAGTACAACTTTAAGAGGTGGCCGTTCACTTTGAACGACTCAGTTTGAGCATTGCTGATCTCCACCGCACCGTGCGGGAATACTTGGGTGATCGGGAAGGGTGCCGACCACCTCGAACGCAGCTTGCCCGGACTGAGTTTCAGGAGTGAATTAAAGAGCAAAACATGGTCAACTAAGCGTCTTGGAGACGCTTGGTTCGCTCCTTGTAGAGCAGAGTGATCTCTTATGTGTGGTAACGCCATTCCTCCAACTCCAGCAGCTACAGCTCACGTTCAGTAGCTACAACACTCAAATCCAGATTTAGCAGCTTAAGGGCCCAGAAGGCATTGTGCTCTAGCTCGACGGGCAAATGACACGCCTTCCCATAGACAAGCCTATATGGTGAAGTACCATTTGTGTTTTTGTAGGCTGTCCTATATGCCCAGAGAGCATCATCGAGCTTGGTGGACCAATCCTTGCGGGACTGATCCACAGCCTTTTCAATTGTTCTTTTAAGCTCCCATTTCGTCAGCTCGGCTTGACCATTCGTCTGGGGATGGTAAGCCACCGACAACTGATGCTTAACACCATAGCGAGAGAGGAGCTTAGTGAATTTCCCTTGAAAATGGGTTCCTCTATCACTTACGATGGTGCGAGGTATCCCAAACCAGGAGAACAGTTGTTTCAGAAATGAGTAGACCCGTCTTGCGTCCTAAGTGGGCATGGCTTGAGCTTTTGCCCACCTCGAGACGTAGTCTACTGCAACCAATATGTACAAATTGCCAAAAGATGGAGCGAATGGGCCCATGAAATTGATGCCTCAAACATCAAAAATTTCAAAAACGATAGATATATGCTGGGGCATCTCATCCAGGGAAGAAATGTTACCTGACCTCTGGCAGCGGTCGCACTATGGTGCAAAGGTGTCAGCATTCTTGAAGAGCGAGGGCCAGTAGAAGCCCGATTATAGCACCTTCCGCGCCGTAGGTACCTTGTGGCATTGAGACAAGATGTCTCCCATCTCGTGCTCCATGACGCAGTGCCGGATTACGCCATCTGCTCCGATACGGAAGAGGTAAGGATCCTCCTAGAAATAATGCATTAGGTTGGAGAACAAGTTGCACTTTGCATGAGTGGACATCCCCTTCGGTAGCTGCTTGCCCACCAGATAATTGGCAAATTCAAAATACCAAGGGGCCATGCTCTCTACCAAGGTCATCGCCAGCAATCGCTCACCCGGGAAGGAGTCGTTGATCTCTTCCACGAAGTTGTCCTCCGGGGGGGGGGGGCTTCCAATCGTGAAAGATGATATGCAGCATTATTTTCGGCTCCCTTCTTGTCCCAGATCTCGATATCAAGTTCCTGCAGAAGGAGGATCCCGCGGATGAGTCTAGGCTTTGCATCAGCCTTGCTCATCAGATAGCGAATCGCGGAGTGGTCTGTGTAGACCACCACATGGGAAAGCACAAGATAGGGTTGGAACTTGTAAAATGCATACACCATGGCAAGTAGCTCTTTCTCAGTGGTGGTATAGTTCTCTTGTAAATCGTTCAAGGTCTTCGACGCGTAGTAGATGGCCTGGAAGTGCTTCTTGCGTCTCTGACCCAGAACAGCTCCCACTGCATAGTCACTCGCATCGCACATCAACTCAAAGGGAATAGATCAGTCAGGAGTCACCATGATGGGTACATGGGTAAGCTTCTCCAGCAGCTTGGTCAGAGGTAGGGTGATCTTCGAGAAATCCTTGATGAAGCGCCGGTAGAAGCCTGCATGACCCAGAAAGCTGCGGGTCCCCTTCACATAAATGGGAGGAGGTAGCTTGATGATTGTCTCTATCTTAGCGCGTTCTACCTCAATCCCCTACTTGGAGATCTTGTGCCCGAGTACAATCCTCTCACAAACCATAAAATGGCACTTCTCCCAGCCGAGGTGATCGCCATCATACATCTCTAGAAGGTTGCCGGTGCATCACATAGCCCGAATGGAAACCCTCCGGTAAGCAAAAGTACCGAAGGGGCAAGTGAATGTGGTCTTCTCCTGATCCTCTAGCGCAATGAGAATTTGGAAATAATTAGACATGCCATCCAGGAAGCAGTATAACATGGCCAGCTAACCTCTACAGAATCTGATCAATGTAAGGTAGGGGGAAATGGTCTTTCCTGGTGGCGTCGTTCAGGCAACGATAGTCAATGCCGACTCTCCAGCCAGTCATGGTCCACATCGGAATCAACTTGTTCTTCTCATTCGGGACCACAGTCGTCCCGCCTTTCTTCGGGACCACCTGAGTGGGACTGACCCACTTGCTATCAGATATAGCAAAGATGATCCCTACATCCATCAGCTTTACAATCTCTGCCCCGACCTTTGCCTCCAAGTTAGGAGTCAATCTCCGCTGCGGTTGCCTGACTGGCTTAACCTCATCCTCCATCATAATTCTGCGGGAGCAGAAGGATGGGCTAATGCCTTTGATGTTAGTTATCTTCTACGCCATGGCCCGGGCATACCTCCTCAGTAGAGCCACCAGTCTGCTCTTCTGCTTGGATGTCAGATCCGATCTGATAATGACCGGGAGCTTATTCCCCTCCCGGATAAATGTATACTCCAGGTGAGAGGGGAGGGGTTTAAGCTCTAGCTCTGGTGGCTCATCCAATTATGTGGCGATACGGGGCGAGATAGGGTGATATGATCCAATTTGGGTCACCCAACAAGCTTGAATTGCTTAATCAAAAAGTAATCTCAAACACTAACAAGAACTATGATGTTTGTCCAAGTGTTGTAAGTGTTTTAGGTACCCTTCTTTGCACGTATGCAACTTGTGTTTGGCTCGACGAAAAAGGGTGAATAAAGGCTTGTTGTGAAGCTGGGAAGTTTATCTATAAGAGGAAATTGTTGGGAGCTCGAGAAGAGGTCAGGAAGACTGATTTTCAAGCTTCTCAAAACCCTACGCTGAAACTGGAAAACTGTTAGATTTTCACTAAGTTTGGAAGGCAGCGTAGGTACCAACTTTTGGAGCTTGGTTCGAGGGGTTTGGAGGGTAATCGAGTTCCAAGGATGCAACCACATGAAAGTACATTTCTCATAGAACAAAGTAGAGGCATTGGGTGATCAAAACCATATCTTGAAGGCTTCTGACGAATGCAAGCAAGATCGTATGGAAGCTCTCGAGAAGACTGTCTTGCAAGGAGTAATCCGAATCCTCTTCGGACTAGGATTGCGACTAAAGTGTTTTCCCTTTTCTGTTTAAACTCTATTTCCTTGTTTGTTTGAGAATTGGTTTTCCATATCAAGTTTGTTAGTTAACATAGGTCTATTTAAGGTTGATCAGTTGCATTGTAAAACTCAGTTTTTGGATTCGAATACCAACCCGAGTTTGGTTCAAAAAGCTTGTGCTTCGTGAGATTGAGATTTCTTTAGGAAGAGTTCTAAGCAGCTTAAGTGCTTGTATCGTTCATCTATTCACGCTCTTCGGGGCCAGGCTTCGATATATCTATTCCGAGTCTTTCCCTGTTGTGTGAAATTACACGAAATTGACCATCCATCCACCTACAACCCCCCTGTTTTGATCAAGACTTTGGAATTGAGCAAGCTCAATTCGTAGCTGCGTTATTCTGAAACCTAAGACCCATCTAGGGCCTCATCAAGTGGTATCACGAGCCCGGTTCAAACGCAGGGCACAAAAGACGACGACGACGATAGAAGGCGTCACTGGAATCATACACTAGACAAGGTCGAAGGGCCCTGTTTCTAGTGATCCTGCGCTGCTAATCCCAGAACAAAGGAAGAAGGAGAAGTAGACAGTCATGGGCGACGAGCAACCTGCACAGCCTATGACGATGGAGGCTTTACAACGGTACTTCTAGACTCAATTCGAGCAAGTTAATCAGCAATTAGCTGAGCTTCGGCTGCAAATTCCTAACCCTGTTTCGCCATAGAATAGGGCAGAGCACGAAGGAGTTCGTCAGGCCGCCAAACCAGTTCAAAACGACGCCAATCAAGAACTATCGGCACGAATTAAAGACATTGAGCAAAGATTGGTGGTTGCGGATCCCCATCATGGACGACCAAATCAAGATCGTCGTGATTACAGGGAACGGAGGCCAGAGGCAGAGCCTACCATTTCGCCACGCATCAAACTAACCATCCTCCCTTCACTGGATCTCTCAATGCCTCACATTACCTGGATTGGGAGCGAAAGGTAATGTTATTCTTTCAATTGGGAAATTATTTTGAGCAGTAGAAGGTGGTCTTGGCCACCTACGAGTTTACGGACTATGCTGCTCAATGGTGGGAGCAAGTTCGATTGCGACGACGACGTAACCTCCATCCAAAAATAACAACGTGGGAAGACCTTCGAGGTCTTCTAAGAGATCGGTTTGTTCCTGGATACTATTAGAGAGAACTATAGAATCCCTGCAGCAGATTTGACAAGGTACACGAACGGTGTCAATCTTGGAGTTGCTGATGATTCGTAGCTGCGTTATTCTGAAAACTAAGACCCATCTAGGGGCTCATCATAGGGATCAGCTTGTATGGTTTCTCTCCCCCTTGATCCCGGCTTCGTCAAGCTGCTCCTCCAGCTGCAACTCCTGCGATGCCTGTTCCCCTAGCAAAAGAAAACTCTCGAGGAAATCGTCAGTACCCGCACTAGTGATGGCGAGTGCGGTCTCAAAATCAGCAATAACATCTCAATAGTCTAGATCATCATGGAGCTCGGGATGTTTCATATTATTAGAAATAGAGAAGGTGATTTGTTCACCACCAGCCCTCAAAATTAACTTCCCATCATTCACATCAATAAGCGCCTTAGCGGTTGCGAGAAAAGTTCTACCCAGTATTAAAGGCACATCCACATCCTCATTTATATCAAGAATAACAAAATCAACAAGATATGAGAATGGCCCCACTACGACTATCAAGTCCTCCGCAATGCCCGTAGGATGCACAATGGATCTATCAACTAGTTGAATGCTCATCCTAGTATTACTGGGTTCACCTAGGCCTAGCTTCTTAAACAGTTTATATGGCATTACGTTTATGCGTGCACCTAAATCTGCCAAGGACTTTCCTACATGCAAACTACCAATCATGCAAGGAATAATGAAACTACTTGGGTCTCTGCGCTTCTCTAGTAGCTTGTTTTGCAAGATGGCAGAACACTCCTCCTTGAGCATCACCGTCGACAGCTCCCCAAGCTTCCTCTTGTAAGTGAGGAGATCTTTCATGAACTTAACATACTTGGGCATCTTCGACAATGCCTCCACGAAGAGCATACTAATGTTCACTTGCTTCAGCATTGCCATGAACTTGGAAAACTCAGTCTCCAGTCGGTCTTTGTGAACCGAGTAGGAAAGGGGAGCTGAGGGACATACTCCTTCACCACTAGCTGTGGTTTAGGAGTACGCCCCTCAACCTCCTCCAGTTCTTCTTCATTAGCTGGAAGTGCTTAAGAAGGTATTTCTCTCTCCTGTCGTGCCTGGACAGGTGGATCCGCAGTCACCTTGCCACTCCTGGTAGTAATGGCCAGGCAGTGTTCATTTGGGTCCTGCGGATGGGGAATGGTCTACCCGGGTAAATACCCGGAGCCCTCTGTGCTACAGCCTGGACGACACTCCCGAGCTGGGTCTAGATATCCTGCAGTACAGCCTGCGTGTTTCTCTGGCCATCTTCTAGCTTTCTACATGAACCGCTCGATGTTGCTGAACTTATTCGCACTGGAGGTGGCCAGAGAACCCACAAGATCTCCCAAATCGGCCATAGGATCGCTCTGTACTAGACTGTGGGGGCTGCACCTGGCTGCTGAAATGGCCTCATCTGTGTCTGAGGAGGAGCTGCCCCTGTCTGGCCGGATAGAGAGGCTGCTTCTATTGCTGGAATTTCCCTTTTCTTGGCGGGTAAGGAGGTCTCTGAAAGCCTGGTGGTCACCGAGAGACTGGTGGTCGAGGATAAGGTCCACTCTAGAAGAAGTTGGGATGATGGCGCCACCCTCGTTATAAGTGTTTTTGTAGGGGTCGAAACGCCAAGCATTGCCGATGAAGTCCAACTGCTCCTGGGGGGTAGTCGACTCCCTCATCGCCTGACAGTCTTCTATAGTGTGATGGGAGCTTTCGCACCAATGGCAATGCATTGCCTGCTATTTTGACAGTCCCTGAAACCATTCCAGAATGATCAATGGCTAAGACCAGCTTAGATACCACCTGCACCAACTCAGACGACTGGGTGGCCATAGCATGCACACCCCCACCTGGTGCTCGTCTCGATCTCCTGGCAGTTCCCCAATCATATCCCTGCTCCGCCATCTCTTCAAAGAGTCTATTCAGCTGTGGCGGGGTCTTGGTGAGCATGTTCCCGCCGCAAATCGAGTCAATCAGCTGCTTGTCTTCTGGGAAGAGGGCATGGTAGAAGGTGCCCACCTTGAAGGCGTCATTGAACCCATGATTGGGACACTTTAGGAAAAGACTGGTATATCTTTCCCAAGCATCCCGAATGGTTTCGTCTTCCTCCTGGGCAAAGTGGTTGATCTGCTTCTGCAGGTCCGCCGTCTTGGACGGAGGATGATAGAGGGTGTGGAACTTGTCCGCCAGGTTGGCGAACGTGGTGATCGATCCAGGCGGCCGAGTGTCCAGCCACTCCTTGGGTTGCCCCTCCAGAGTGAATGGGAAGTATCTCAGCTCAATGGCATCGGCTGGGACCCCATTTATCTTGATCCCACCGATGAGCTCATGGAATCATCGCAGATGCGATCTGGGACACTCTCCCTCCTTTCCACGGAATACCACCGATCCACGCAGCATGGTGATGATAGAGATGCTCACCTCTAAGTTATTGGCTAGAACTTGAGGGTGCTGGATGGGCGACCTCATGTCCGCGGCTCTGGCGGTCCAGTAATATCCATGGTGTGCTCATCGGGGACAACCACATCATTGTTTTGAGGCTCACCCATGTCTTCCTCTTAGTGGATCTGCAGCTGTGCTAGAGCCTCCTCCGCAGCCAGTCGCGCCATTAAAGCTCGCTTGAAGTTCTTACAAGTCCGTTCAAGCTCTTGGTCTAACGGCAGTAGTTATCCTGACTGGCTCAGGTCATGCACAACCACCACACAGAATGCAAACACAACCCGTGAAGGCATAAAGGTGGAAGAGAGAGAATGCAGTATGGAAAAAGATAGAGTAACAAACTTTCACGTTTCCACAATAACCTAGGTTCCCCGGCAACGTTCAATTTATCAACCGGGGATCTAGATCTACTGACTACCCCGAGATTATCTATCATCTAGCGAGACTAAGTTGAGTGAATGTGATTTTAAGCTGAAGTAGTAAGAAAGCAGGAAATGGTTCGAAGTTCTTAAGCAAGGGAAGATTCACTAGGGAATGAGTCCCCCTAGCTCCTTAGTTAGGTCAAAGTTGTAATTACCTTTGGTTGATTTAGTGTTGATTAAACTGCGGAAGATCCAACAGTAGCTTGAAATCTCTTAAGCTGACCAAGCCCTCTCAGACAGACTACCCGGCAGACGACTAGTCTTCACCGGGATAGAACGTTAGGGAAATTAACACAGAACTCCACTACTGGAGCTGGATTCCAGTACAAAGCAGTGAATCGAGTAACTCTCGTATAATCGATTCACTACTACCGATTGAATAAGCTCTAGCAACCTAATCAGATTCTATTTATCTCAGGTTGCAGCAGAAGTCAAGAAAAGATGATCAGGCTTCAATTGACTCAATCAAAACACTTCAATCGATTATAATCAACCAATATCACACAAACCAAACGTCATTACAATCGATATCCCTAACACATGGAACTAGGGTTCTTCAAACCCAAGTGAGAGAGGGTTCTACTCCATAGAGAGAGAGAGGAAAATAGAATACAAAATAGTCATACTCATCAAGATGGGAAGGATCTGCTCTGGGATGATAATCTTCACTCCAAGGATGAAATCCACGCCTGATTGATGAAACCCAGCTCCAAAATCACCTCTAGGGTTTGTTCTTCGCACTTTCTCTTGCAAGGACTCTATTTTTTGCTCTGAAAATCGATTCCTCCTTCAAAAGACCCGAAATGGGGTTGAAACCCAAAATTCCGCGACTACACGGCCAGGCCACACGGCTGTGTAGAATTACCCAGATGTCCGTGCGGAATTGCAAAACGCCGCGTTTCACTTAAGTGCCTTCATGCATGCTACATGGCGAGAACCGCACGACCGTGTGGAATTATGGCATGCCCGTGTGAACTCCCTGGGAATTCCAGACGGCCAAAAAGGGCCCTTTACACGGCCAGTGTGGCTTGCCTGCGCAAAGGGGTTCCACACGGCCACGTCACACGGTCGTGTGGAATTTAGGTCTGGCCTTGTGGTTTCCCTAGCTTTTCGTCAAACGTCCCAACTTTGTCCAATCAACCCCGAACACGTGCCCAAACCTTCCTTCACGTACTAGGACCTGAAATATCACAAACAAGAACAACCTAGCGTGAAATTGGCCTAAAACACGAGAGATGAGACTCAAACGGTTTAAGAATGGTGACAAAAACATGTGTATATATCAAGTCATCAATGGCTTTTACAGGATCTGGGTGTCCTTCAACATGGACCCACACCTCTTTATTGTGATAATCAAGCAGAACTCCATATTGCAGCCAATCCAGTGTTTCATGAGCGTACTAAGCATGTCGAGATGGACTGCTATTTTGTTTGGGAGCGCTTTCTAGTCTCTTGACATTGCACCTCAAAAGATCCCTACGACCGAGCAACCGGCACACGTTTTCACCAAAGGGCTGGGGGTCGAGCACTACCATCATCTTCTTTCCAAGCTTGGCATGTTCTCTCCATGCGTGTGTTTGAGGAGGTGTATTACGTGTCTGTGTCCTTGTTAACCGCAAAACTGACCAACAAGTTATCGGTTTTAAAAGTGATTAGCCGAGCGACCAAGAGGCATTCTCTACTGGCTGCTATTACAGGAAAGGACTTAGCCGAGCGAAGGCGGGTGTTGACTGGTGGTTGTTGGTGGCGCTCGTATGCGAGAGAATGAAGGAATAAAACGAGCATCGAGGTCATTATGGGAAGGAAAGGACTCACCACTACCTTGCCTACTGGTTGTTGTCCTGCTCTGTCTCTGTCGACAGGGGGCGTAATGTGAACAATGAAAAATGACGACCGCCTCGCATGCTCTGCTGCTCTCGACGGAAACAACGGGAGATGACGGAGGATGGTGGGCGAACGATGACGAAGAAGGACTTAGGCTGGATGTTCAACGCCTACGCGGAATCAAGGCTCGAGAGGTGGAGTGGTGGATAGAGGTGCAGCTTTGTCGAAGGGGGTGGAAATTAGGGGTTTTTTCTATTTGTGGTTTTGCGATTTAGGGGATCTCCAGCAACACAGTTAATAGTATCCACACTTCTCCCTCCCGAACACCAACCGACCAAGACAGCCATTTGGTTTTCAATTTTCCGAACCGAAATCGATCGGTTATAATTGACGGTTAACTGCTTAACTGAAAAGCAAATGGCCAGCCCTACATGCACCTCTAGATTTCCAACATAAGTCTGCATCAATTTTAACCTACCATGCTGGTAAAACAACAGTAATAGCTTTGCATTGCATACCCCAACACCCTGAAAGTGTGGATGCCTAGACAAGAAATCAACAACTCTTGTGAACTTGCCTTGTTTATAATTAATATCAAAGTCTAGGCCCAACAACTTAACTAAGCCTTTCTTCTGAATATGTGTGTGAATTTTCTATCCAAACAAATTTTTAAGACTTTCATAATCAGTGAGAATGATTAATGGTCTACCCTCTAGGGAATATCTCCACAAAGTCAATGCTAGCTATACTGCTATGTACTCTTTCTCATAGGCAAATGAGCCTTTTTGCCGATAACTAGAGTTTAGTTGTGATAAGAAATTGGTATTCCCTCCTGATATATTAAAACTCTAACTCCCACATTACTAGCATCAGTCTCAAGTTAAAAGGGTAGGGTGGAATCAGGTATGGCCGGTACAAATGCTTGCACCATAGTCATTTTGAGAAATTCAAATGTTCTCTGAGTAATGGAAACAAGACAAAACCAACCTTATTAAGCAACTCAGTCAAAGGAATGCTAATGGCTCATAGTTCTTCAAAAACTTATTGCAATAATCAGTTGATCCCAGAAACCCATGTAGTTCTTTCACATTCTTAGGCACATGCCACGACACCATGACTTTAAACTTACTAGGGCTTTGGAAACTCTATGCCCACATCCATCCGTGTAAATGAGCAGTTAGATGGTTTGGTACATAGTGTATGTTGTCTAAGGGTTTGAAGGGTTATCGAATGGTGTTTATAGTGAGTATCTTGGTCAGTGTACAATGGCCTTCAACAAGCAACAGGCCATATATAAAACGGGGATACCACGTAAAATCTCGTGTTGTTCGTGTTTGTTTTCATTCCGCGTTGCAAAATTCTACAAACTAGTTTAGTTGTGTATTTATGATGAGCATAGGAAGATAAAGGGAGTTGTTGTAGACTTTATTACATCACTGTTTGCTTTCTTTTTCTTAACTCTTTCATTTTCTTCATCACCGAACAGGTGAATGCAATGGGGAGTTCAGCTTTGAAGTTCATGTCGAACATGAACTCAAAAAGAAGAGTGGGAAGCATTTTCTCAAGGAGAAGGACATTGTTTACTATGACCATGCTGATATTGATCTGCTGTCCATCCTCAACTTGCTAGACATCTACAAGGAGTGTGGTGGGAAGATTCCAAATCCGGCATTTTTTGGAAAGCTCCTTTTGATGAATCAATGACAGAGATTACGAGAGATGAAGACTTATTAGAAATGGCCCAAGCAGCTAATGAAGCTCCTAGGATCATTGAACTGTATGCTATGGTTGAGCATGAAGTTCTGGACTTTATGGATAGTGATGACGAAGAAGATGCAACTCCACCTGCAGAAAAGGAAGTAACTGTTGTTGAGGACGAAGATGATGACAATGATTATGAAGGAGAGGATGAAGATAGTGACTTTGAGGTCGATTCTGGGTCGGATTTTAGCATTGGTGATTATATAAACTATGAGAAGAATGTGAATTTAGATGTGGAGGCTGGTATGGGGGTAGATGGACGAGGAGAAGACAACCTTGGTGATGCAGAAGTGGATGAAGAGGAGTCTGATCGCGTAGACTCAGATGATCGTAGATCTATCCACAGTTCGGAGGACAAATCTGATGCTTCATAAGTTCCAGAATTTCGGGTGGATCGAGACATGGAGAGGCCAACCTTTGCCATTTCTCAAAAATTCAGCAGCTTTGGTGTGTTGAAGGATGCACTCAAGCAATACTCTTTTGTTGAGAAACGACCAATATTCTTTAAAAGAAGTGATGGTAAGTGGCTGCAAGTGATGTGCGAGCTACCATGTCATTGGTACATATGGGCATCCAAGGTGAGGGATAAAGATGTTGTGCAGATCACTAGGTGCAAACTGGAGCACACACCAGATTGCACCTTAACCTTTCAAAATAGGTATGCAACATACAAGTTCTTGGGTGATAAAATGACTAAGAAGGTGGCAGCAGATCACAATATGAGTAAGAAGTTGCTGAAACAAATTGTGAAGGAAGATTATAGGGAGGAGATTGGGGATATGAAGGCATGGAGAGTCAAGAAGACAGCAATTGAGAAGGTTCGTGGATCTATTAGGGACCAATACAGAAGCTTATATCATTATGCTGCATATTTAAGGAGGAGCAATCCAAAATCCACTATTGTAGTTGAGCAACAAGAACACGTGTTCAATCGCATGTATGTGTGCTTTGAGGCATCAATGAAAGGTTTTAGAGCTGGCTGCAGGCAAGTCATATGCATCGATGGATGCTTCCTCAAGAATGATTATGGTGGCCAGCTGCTATCTGTCGTTGGTATTGATGCAAACGATAAAATATTTTCCCATCGCATTTGCTCATGTTGAGGTGGAGAACAAGGATAATTGGCTTTGGTTCCTGGAGCTTCTGGGAACCGATTTGCATATTAATGATAATCCTGGATGGACATTCATTTCCGACAAGCAAAAGGTGTGATTTCTACTCATTCTTGTTGCCTTCAATTTATTTGTTGCTGCTGTAAATTAATTTTTTTTGGCGTTAACCACTGCTGTAATTTTCATTCTGAAGGGTCTAATGCCAACACTAGATGAGGTGTTTCCCTCTAGTGAGAAGCGTCATTGTACCAGGCATCTTGTGACCAATCTAAGTGTTGCATGTGGATCATCAAAGAGGGTTAAGGACTTATTCTGGGAAGCAGCTAGAGCCACAACTATCTCTGAATTCCAAGTTGCTATGAGAAGCCTGTCGGATTACAACAAGCCCTCTTATGATTGGCCTGTCGACAAGCCATACTGCCATTGGTCCAGATCGCATTTCAACAGATATGGACACGAACAACCTGGTTGAGAGCTGGAATAATGTCATCGTCGATGAGAGGGATACGGGTCCTGTTGGCATGTGGGAAGGGATTAGGAGGAGGCTGATGGTGCTATATGCCAAAAGACGACGTTTAGCCAACAAGTGGGCTGCTCCTTTGTGTAAAAACATTGAGAAGAAGTTGCAAGCTCTAGGACAAAAAGCTCTTAAGTGGTCTGCTGAATCAAACGGCAACGGGGAGTTTGAGGTGAGGTGGCAAAATCAGCAACTTGTTGTTAACTTGAGAAAAAAGAATTGTACTTGCAGAAGGTGGGATCTGACTGGAATCCCTTGTGAGCATGCCATTCAATATTTTTTTATAAGCCTACTGACGTAATTTAACTTTGCAGGGAAGTTCCCAAAGGCCAGCAAGTCAAGTGTCCCAGCAACCAAGCCAAGACTCACATAGGAGCAATCTGTGAAGAGTAGGGTGTAGACTTTTAAAGCCATTCATGCCTATTATAGTGCTTGGTTAGGTCAAGCTGAATGGTTGTTTTTTTTTTTTTTTGAATATTTTGAAGCCATTCATGTCTATTGTAGTGTTTGGTTAGGTCAAGCTAAATGGTTGTTTTTTTTTTTTGAATATTTTGAAGTCATTCATGTCTATTGTAGTGCTTGGTTAGGACAAGTAGAATGGTTGTCTTGTAATCGTATGTTGCACATATTGTTGAACTTTAGGGGGACCAGCAATGGTAATTTAATGGTTGTTGTAAAACAGTTCCAGGTGTTCAGTAAAGTTTATGGCTCTTGGTTAAATTCATGTTCAACAGGTTATGGTTGCATTAATGTTATGTATTGTTCTGTTTTATACAATGTGTTACATATCAAAGAGAAAATATCTGAGTGATACAAATGAAAGTAAACTAGCAACGCAATGGCATTCATGAAATGCAATCAAAATCATAGTGATACAGATGAAACATTAAAAAAACTCCGTAGTGGCTTCCGCGAAAAATAAATAACATTATGGTGGTACAGATAAAACGGAAAGTACATTACAATGGTACAATTGAATCATAAACAACATTCTAGTGATACAAGTGAAGCAACATTTTCTTATTTTCCCAACAAGATGAAACCAAATACAATGACCATTACAGTGAAGATGCAAGCCATTTTGACAGTTATTTTGTAAGCTCTCCTTGGTTCCCTTCTCTCTAGATCTCGAATTCGACGATGGAGGCTGAGCACAACGTTTCGCATATGCTCATCAAGGGTTGGTTCATACCATCTGAAATAATTGCATGCTCCATTCGTCTACAAAAGAAAGCACAATGAGGGGAATGGTTAGAACCTAAACCCAAGCAGAAGGTACATAAAGCACGAAAGAAAGTGATATTGAAATGGTCTTACCCCAAACTTGCCACATCCTTACAACTTCTGCCCTGGATTTGCATCGGTCCAACTAGTCCTCAAACTTGTTGGGTACCCACAGTGACAATATGGGTTAGTCATGGCTTAGATCGATAACCTTCTGAGATCACAAGTTGTTCCAGAGGAGAAGGAAGAAGATGGAGAAGGAAGAATAAGGAAAGTGGAAGAATAAGGAAGATGGAGAAGATGAAGGACGATGAAGAAGAGAGGTGTTGTATGGAATTTGGATGGATGAGAAAGAACAAAAATGAGGTGAGAAGGGTTTTAATGGTGGGTAAGAGTTTTTTTCCCTCCCAAGAAGGTAAAAAGTATTTGAAAATGGGGGAAAAGGGTTATTTTTCCCTCCCATTCCACTTCAGCACCCTAGTGCCGTCTTTTTTAGCCTCTATGTCATCCCAGTCAACACTTTTGTTTGCCATGTCATCAAAAATCTGACGGCGTTAACGGATCTGACGGAGGGTGACCAACGGTGAAACGAAACGTAAAGTTAGTGGTTAATATGAAAAAAAGTAATTTGGGTGGCAAACGTGAAATATTTATGTAATTCGAGTGACCAAATGTGTAATTTAGCTTGGCAAAATATATTGGATTCGTGAATTGGATTGGTAGATTCATGGATTGGATTAAATGGGTTGGTGGATTTCATTCATGAATCCAAGTGATATCCAAACATTGGACTATTATGCACATTATGAAAGGATATTTTTTGTTTAAAATTAAAATTTAGGTATCAAAACTTAGAATGACAAAAGTATAGGTATTGAACTGTAATTTTCAAATATCTATGTATTCACAAATCCAATTGGATTTAGATTAATTGGATTTTTAGTGGATGGATTGGATTAGTGAATTTAATTCAAAGAGCCACATCTAGTGTTTATCCATATTCATCGAGTTTTTGATAATTTTTCTCTATCTCATCGGTCGTATATACACGAATATTTATAATTAGGGATATTTTTGACATCTCGAAATTCAAACAAACAATTAAATATACCAAACTCAGAGGCCTTTCAAATTTCATAATCCATCAAACCGTGGAATATTAAACCAAACCATGAAGTAGAACGTGATTAACCATATATACTACATGCTTAATCAAACAAAGCCTCAAAGACTACCACTACAAATTGTTCCCATAAAACAATGAAGCACCATAGAAACTACACACACGTAAAAGTAAATCATGTTGGCTAGAACTTTTAAAAAAAATCATGTTGGCTAGATACTAGCTGACAGTGTCCATAAAGGCGGATAGAAATTATAACGCTATGGCCATGACTACTACTAGAGCAACCACAATGAGTGTAGATGAAGATGTCTTAGAGCTTGCACCCGTAGTCCGAACCACATCTGCTACCAAAAAATACACACGAAATGAGTATGAGAAAAAGAACTCATGAAGAAATGTTAAGGAACCAAAACAAAAATGTGTTTTCATACCTCTGCAACTAGAGACTACACGGCCACGCACATTGCAAGCATCAAAAGTGGCAAATCCTTTAGTGATATCAATGTCGAAATCGATATATCCACCACTAAAGAAGATCTCACACAAACATTCCGGATATCTTGACAACACCGATCGCAGCGTGTGGCAGCAGGAGTCCGGTACCGTCATGGTGTTGTTCTTCCTAATGTAGCCCCAACAATTCGACTTCATGTCGTAGAGGGGAGTGGCACAATCTGCACCTCCAAGAGGTATGTGAGGCAACGGCTCGTCGGCAGTACTGGATCCAAAAGAAGGGGCAGCAGAAACTATGAAGCACAAAATGAGGAAAAGAGAGTAGCAGGCGAAAGCCATAATTGCTGAAATTTCAAATCCTTTCATGAGCTCAAGTGGGCTCTTGATATATAGACATATAATGCATGCTATCACGTATCATACATGTCCAGAGTGTTTGTTAATTCACTCCAATGGCCATTTGATTTTTACCTCTCTGTGTCTTGGCCAGTACACATCGCATGTCTCGGCTAGGACACAATTCAATCATTATGTGATGATTCCAGAATCAATAACATATATATAGTAACTAAAATCTAATGTTCTTCAACTACTTTTTTATATGTGTTTGGATAGGTGTATTTCAAATGTAAGGTATTTGAAATACATGCATTTGAAATGGATATATTTGAAGTACTAGCATTTGAAATGCATGTAATTCAAATTCGTTGTTTGAATACTTGTAATTTGTTTGTATTTTAAATTTTATGATTTTTTATTTTAATTTTGAATTTTTTGGTCATTTACTACAAATTTTGATAAATTGCATTTTGGTACCCAAATTTATTTTTCCTTACAATTTAGTACCTAAACTTTTAAAATTTTACAAAAAAGGTCCTGAAATTTTGATGGTAAAATTACATTTTGGTACCTTTATGTTTTGCCTCACACTATAGTACCTAAATTTTTAATATTTTACAAATAGGTCCACTCTTTTGTTAGGAGGTATTTCAAATGACTAGTTGTTGAAATGTATTTGAAGTTGACAAGGAATACACTAGACATGTATTTGGAAATCACCCCATGATTTTTCACACAAATCCAAATACCAAATGTAATTAATATTCAAACACATGATTTAATATTTGAAAATCCAAATCACAAATACCAAATCCAAATCATTCTATATTACATTCCTGCCTTTTCAAAATTAATATTTCAATCTCGAGACCAACCTTCTCCACATACGCATGCCAACTGGTTTTGCCCTGTTTTGGGCTCATCAGAGAGGCGGCAATAGCCCCCGACCAGTTGTGCCCTATAAGCAACAATCCTCGTCATAGTCACATTTTGACTCACCAGAACGATGCATAAGGAGACGACGCCTTATCGGTGGAGTCGCCCCCTTTACCCCTCATGTGACAAGCTAAGCAGAGGGCACGCGTTCTTCAGACGGTCAACACGTTCACGACATTCCGAGTCGTGACATTCTCCACCACGTCATAGGTGTATTTCAAATGTAAGGTATTTGAAATACATGCATTTGAAATGGATGTATTTGAAGTACTAGCATTTGAAATGCATGTAATTCAAATTCGTTGTTTGAATACTTGTAATTTGTTTGTATTTTAAATTTTATGATTTTTTATTTTAATTTTGAATTTTTAAGGTCATTTACTACAAATTTTGATAAATTGCATTTTGGTACCCAAATTTATTTTTCCTTACAATTTAGTACCTAAACTTTTAAAATTTTACAAAAAAGGTCCTGAAATTTTGATGGTAAAATTACATTTTGGTACCTTTATGTTTTGCCTCACACTATAGTACCTAAATTTTTAATATTTTACAAATAGGTCCACTCTTTTGTTAGGAGGTATTTCAAATGACTAGTTGTTGAAATGTATTTGAAGTTGACAAGTAATACACTAGACATGTATTTGGAAATCACCCCATGATTTTTCACACAAATCCAAATACCAAATGTAATTAATATTCAAACACATGATTTAATATTTGAAAATCCAAATCACAAATACCAAATCCAAATCATTCTATATTACATTCCTGCCTTTTCAAAATTAATATTTCAATCTCGAGACCAACCTTCTCCACATACACATGCCAACTGGTTTTGCCCTGTTTTGGGCTCATCCGGGAGGCGGCAATAGCCCCCGACCAGTTGTGCCCTATAAGCAACAATCCTCGTCATAGTCACATTCTGACCCGCCAGAACGATGCATAGGGAGACGACGCCTTATCGCTGGAGTCGCCCCCTTTACCCCTCATGTGACAAGCTAAGCAGAAGGCACGCGTTCTTCAGACGGTCAACACGTTCACGACATTCCGAGTCGTGACATTCTCCACCACGTCATAGGTGTATTTCAAATGTATGGTATTTGAAATACATGCATTTGAAATGGATGTATTTGAAGTACTAGCATTTGAAATGCATGCAATTAAAATTCGTTGTTTGAATACTTGTAATTTGTTTGTATTTTAAATTTTATGATTTTTTATTTTAATTTTGAATTTTTAGGTCATTTACTATAAATTTTGATAAATTGCATTTTGGTACCCAAATTTATTTTTCCTTACAATTTAGTACCTAAACTTTTAAAATTTTACAAAAAAGGTCCTGAAATTTTGATGGTAAAATTACATTTTGGTACCTTTATGTTTTGCCTCACACTATAGTACCTAAATTTTTAATATTTTACAAATAGGTCCACTCTTTTGTTAGGAGGTATTTCAAATGACTAGTTGTTGAAATGTATTTGAAGTTGACAAGGAATACACTAGACATGTATTTGGAAATCACCCCATGATTTTTCACACAAATCCAAATACCAAATGTAATTAATATTCAAACACATGATTTAATATTTGAAAATCCAAATCACAAATACCAAATCCAAATCATTCTATATTACATTCCTGCCTTTTCAAAATTAATATTTCAATCTCGAGACCAACCTTCTCCACATACGCATGCCAACTGGTTTTGCCCTGTTTTGGGCTCATCAGAGAGGCGGCAATAGCCCCCGACCAGTTGTGCCCTATAAGCAACAATCCTCGTCATAGTCACATTTTGACTCACCAGAACGATGCATAAGGAGACGACGCCTTATCGGTGGAGTCGCCCCCTTTACCCCTCATGTGACAAGCTAAGCAGAGGGCACGCGTTCTTCAGACGGTCAACACGTTCACGACATTCCGAGTCGTGACATTCTCCACCACGTCATAGGTGTATTTCAAATGTAAGGTATTTGAAATACATGCATTTGAAATGGATGTATTTGAAGTACTAGCATTTGAAATGCATGTAATTCAAATTCGTTGTTTGAATACTTGTAATTTGTTTGTATTTTAAATTTTATGATTTTTTATTTTAATTTTGAATTTTTAAGGTCATTTACTACAAATTTTGATAAATTGCATTTTGGTACCCAAATTTATTTTTCCTTACAATTTAGTACCTAAACTTTTAAAATTTTACAAAAAAGGTCCTGAAATTTTGATGGTAAAATTACATTTTGGTACCTTTATGTTTTGCCTCACACTATAGTACCTAAATTTTTAATATTTTACAAATAGGTCCACTCTTTTGTTAGGAGGTATTTCAAATGACTAGTTGTTGAAATGTATTTGAAGTTGACAAGTAATACACTAGACATGTATTTGGAAATCACCCCATGATTTTTCACACAAATCCAAATACCAAATGTAATTAATATTCAAACACATGATTTAATATTTGAAAATCCAAATCACAAATACCAAATCCAAATCATTCTATATTACATTCCTGCCTTTTCAAAATTAATATTTCAATCTCGAGACCAACCTTCTCCACATACACATGCCAACTGGTTTTGCCCTGTTTTGGGCTCATCCGGGAGGCGGCAATAGCCCCCGACCAGTTGTGCCCTATAAGCAACAATCCTCGTCATAGTCACATTCTGACCCGCCAGAACGATGCATAGGGAGACGACGCCTTATCGCTGGAGTCGCCCCCTTTACCCCTCATGTGACAAGCTAAGCAGAAGGCACGCGTTCTTCAGACGGTCAACACGTTCACGACATTCCGAGTCGTGACATTCTCCACCACGTCATAGGTGTATTTCAAATGTATGGTATTTGAAATACATGCATTTGAAATGGATGTATTTGAAGTACTAGCATTTGAAATGCATGCAATTAAAATTCGTTGTTTGAATACTTGTAATTTGTTTGTATTTTAAATTTTATGATTTTTTATTTTAATTTTGAATTTTTAGGTCATTTACTATAAATTTTGATAAATTGCATTTTGGTACCCAAATTTATTTTTCCTTACAATTTAGTACCTAAACTTTTAAAATTTTACAAAAAAGGTCCTGAAATTTTGATGGTAAAATTACATTTTGGTACCTTTATGTTTTGCCTCACACTATAGTACCTAAATTTTTAATATTTTACAAATAGGTCCACTCTTTTGTTAGGAGGTATTTCAAATGACTAGTTGTTGAAATGTATTTGAAGTTGACAAGTAATACACTAGACATGTATTTGGAAATCACCCCATGATTTTTCACACAAATCCAAATACCAAATGTAATTAATATTCAAACACATGATTTAATATTTGAAAATCCAAATCACCAATACCAAATCCAAATCATTCTATATTACATTCCTGCCTTTTCAAAATTAATATTTCAATCTCGAGACCAACATTCTCCACATACGCATGCCAACTGGTTTTGCCCTGTTTTGGGCTCATCAGGGAGGCGGCAATAGCCCCCGACCAATTGTGCCCTATAAGCAACAATCCTCGTCATAGTCACATTCTGACTCGCCAGAACGATGCATAGGGAGACGACGCCTTATCGGTGGAGTCGCCCCCTTTACCCCTCATGTGACAAGCTAAGCAGAAGGCACGCGTTCTTCAGACGGTCAACACGTTCACGACATTCCGAGTCGTGACATTCTCCACCACTCATAATGCAGCACGTCCTCATGTTGTTGAAGAATGCTTCTCTATGCACCATGTATTGCAACCCTAGAACTTATCGTGGGCCTTCGCATACGGTACCATCCCCTAATGGTTAGGCTCAATTCGCATCTCTTGCGCTAGCCTGCTGTGCCTCTCGCAGCGTCATCGACATCAACCTTCACTCTTCGCTTCTGTTGTGTCAGTACCTCAGTCGACCTTCACCATACACTCCACCCAATGTTAGTACCTCAATCGACCATCACTCTACGCTCTCGCTAGCGTTAGTTTCTCGCTCGGCAGCTGCATCCTCCGCATGTCGAGGTCCCCCACAATGACGTAATACATGTGTATCTACGTTCTGGACCACCTGATACACACTCAGGACTGCCACTCATACCCACATAGGATCGACCCATACACACAACCTGAGCATTACTGACAGATGAACTAGGATCTTCTGGCTAACCATGCTCTGATACCACTTGTCACGGGAAGACTTTCGGAGTCCGTACGGCGTCTTGAGGCTCTCGCAACCTCGACACTATCCTTCTCCACATTTGAATGCCAACTGGTTTTG